TGGGCGGCGTCTTGTTGTGGGGGGGGGGGGGGGGGGGGGGGGGGGGGTACTCATAGTCGTGCATGCCGTAGTCGTTAGACCATTGACCTCGCATCCCTACAAAGCCGGGACGGAGCACGCCGGGTTCTCACCGGACCAGGCTCTCACATCACCAAGCGCGAAGCACCGTGAGGTATTCGGCGAGTCGCATGAAGGGTGAGCTGCATCCTGCTAAGGGTGTTCGGCATCTTGTGCTTACTTGCTTGCCTACGGATGACAGCTGCGTATGACTTAATTTATTTTCTGGTGCGTACACTTCCAGAGACAGTTATAAGCACTGTGTAGCTGCCTCGAGGATGCTTGACATTTTAACACAACGTGGTGCGATCATCCCCCTTGCGCGGAGTGAGGTTTCTCCACCCTGCAAAACATGATCTACTCGACCACCATTATGGTTACCGCCAAAAAAAAAAACAGAGGTAAAAAAAAAAAACGGTAACCTGGTTGCCGAGTTCACGAAGTGAATTGACTTCTTTTACAACGTCGTTGCCAAGCGACGAAACCCAATCCCGATGGCAAACACCGAGGGGGGGGCTTGTTTTACAACGTCGTTGCCAAGCGACGAAAACCCAACCCCGATGGCAAACACCGGGGGGGGGGGCGTTCCCCAGGTATGGGCCGTTGAAAACGCACCGCTTCCAACACACCTTACGGCTGACATGTTGACATGTTTGAGAGCTCTCAACATATCGCCATATTTCATATTTCAGTGTGTGTGGTGTGTGCGGTGGTGGTGGTGGGGGGAGGGTGGCACTTTTCGTAGAACACGTGTTTAGTCCTGGATGTATCTCTTTACCCTACACCCTTACCCTTTCGGCCCGACCCCCGCCGTGGCGGCTGTCGTTGAGAGCGAGCCTCTGTGCCGTCTTGAACTCCTTGAACACGGCCGTCTTCATCAGCTGGTCGTGATAAAAAATAAATAAAAACAGCAAACGTATGCCGTATGCATACGGGCTCATCAGCAAATCTCAACATGCACACACAGGCGAAGACAGGAAGGGAATCGTGTGTGTGAGAACAACAAAAAGAACAACAAACAAACAAACAAACAACCAACCAACCAACCAAAGCGATAAAAACTAACAAGTCCGGTACCTCCATGTATTCAGCAACAAAAGGAGAGCAAAACGCACTTACACGTATTCAACAACAACATAATTGGATATGAGTCCGATCTGTGCATCCTCTGTGGGGGATACGCGTATGGGAAGTATGGGTGTGATGGGTATGTATGCGGTTGGGGTCCAAGTGCGCCCCCCCCCGAGTGAGCACACGGCGGTGTGCTCCCGGCACGTGCCTGTGGGGTGAGCATCATTGTCCTGTGTAATATGTGTAATATGTGTAATATGTGTAATATACATGACGGCTGCGCGCGTACCTGGGATAACATAAATAGTACCCAGTCTCAACACCACACTTTACTTGCACGCGATAGGAGAGCAGCATTTATTGAGAAATAAGCAAACCGCTTCGCGAAGAAACGCCTGTCTGCCTCGCCTGGTAGACGCAGGCGAGGTTCATTCTTCCGAACCCATGGTGGTGCCGTACCACCGACACAGCAAGCAGCCACCACAGTCCCCTCTTCAGGCCCGGGTACTGCTCCGCCAGCATGAGCATCTGTTACCGCACGACGCAGAAGCAAGAAAATATATTGCGGAGTGGGGGGGGGGGGGGGGGTTGCCGGGTGTAATCGACAAGTAGATGGGGTTGGCCTTCCATCAAGTCCGATTCGATCGTACACGGGCCAATGAAAAAGCGATGGGGGGGGGGGGGGGAGTGACGCGATATGATGTTGCTTGACG